GGAATTTCTCCTCTCTGAGCTTTTCCATTGCCTTTTTTTTTTATAATGAAAGTATTATTTTCTGGCATAGAACTCACATTTCAATATAATAGACTTTCCTGCAATGAACTTACCAACAGAATTGCTTGCTTCATTAACACTAGAAGTTGAAGTTAATTGATTTTGGCTTTTGAATTCGGCTGATTTTTGATACCACTGGATACTCATGTTAAAGTCGCCGATCTGTGATTCTAGTTCGCCAAGATCGTCATACAAAGTACTAAGTAAAGGATCATTTGATGAAAGTTCATTTAATAGACGATTGAAATATTGTTTTGCCAAATCAACTTTTCCCATTTTCCATAATACTTTTCCTAATGTTCGAAGATTTGTTTCTCCATTACCAAGTTGCTGTTTCATATACATAAGAACTTGTTTTAAGTCATGTTCATCATCGCTGCACAATGTCATACGGATGATCCAATATGGATCATCACCACTGCGATTGAAGCTATTTAAACGAAAAATGGAACCAGGCATAAAAAGTATTTCTGATTCGCCAGGAAATTCACTATATGCACTGATATCAGCAAATGGTTTTCCTGTAACTTTATTAGGATCGGCATCGATTTCATATAATACTGGTACTAATTTATCTGTAGTATCATCGATATTCAGAAATGGCAGAGCTACATTTTTATTGGTACTGGTGGAAAAAAATGAATTCACTGAAATAAACTGATTAAGGCGTCGTTTCAAATTTTGCAGTTCATCATTTGACATCTTTTGTCCTCGATAAACTCGTAAAGGATTTTTAGATTGACATTTTTTTAATTGATCATATATGTCGAGGATGTATGCACGAAATAAAAACATCAAATGAAAATCTTCGGTGCGTAGAGCTGCATTGAGCGTCTTGAAAAAGAACGATTGTCGTGTGTACCACAGTAACACTTTATTAGGTGAATAATCTATTTCAAATTCATGAAGATAATCCAACTGTTTTTTATTGCCTTTGCATTCCTGTTTACAACGATAAATAAGTTCTTTCTTATCTACTGGAGTGTATTTTAGCCGTAGAAGACAATCAATGAGAATTTGAGAAAAAACAAATTTACCATTTAGACCAGTCATTGATTTATCTGCATCAGTAAAAAAATTAATTGTCATTGATTCTTCCACCATTTTTTGAGTTTTATGATCAACTTCAATTCGAGAGATCAGCTCATTAGAGTCATCAACAACAGCTTTTACCTATTAACAGAAACTCATAAAATGAAGTTATATAATCGTTCAGGAAAATCTTACTTTTGAAAATTTATCAGCCCATGCTTTGTGACTTTCTTTATCGCTGCAATACACATAGATTAATATAATTTGTTGAAGTTGATGAATGGAAGGAACAATTTCTCGTCCTAATCGACCACTAACAATCATTATTAATCGATCTTTTCGTACTCGTGCTTCTTCAATATATTTCTGACATTGTTCTACATCTTGAAACTTCTCCAAACGATTCGTAATAGAGTGTAATTTTTGTTCTACATCTTGGTTCTCCTCAGCGTTCACGTTAGCATCGAGCCAGATAAGCCAACACGTTTCGAAATCTTCATCGTCGGTCTTTCCATGAAAGTCGTCAATCGGTAGAATGGAAGTGGTCATGTTTATCAAAAAATGCTAAATAAGATAGAAGTTATGAACGATGTCGTTCTGATATAGTTTTCAAATGTGTGAAATTTTTTTTCAATCTAAAATGAAAGATGTTCAATAGTCACTTTGATTATTTTATTTACTAGTATTTCTGATGTAATGCAAAAGAATGCAAGAACAAGATGTTCGTCGAAGACGATGACTTTTTTCTGGTCCTTAGACTTTATCAGTAAGATTATGGAATTGAGATTATTTGAAACGTTTTCGTTCAGTCATGTAAAATGAATATAAACCAGATGATATCACATCCGATTAAGTTGAGCACTGTAATTTGGCAGCATGTAGATTTTTAATTTCAATCGAAATGAGCCCTAATCTTCATTTTTTATTTAAAAAATTTCCAACAGCCAACTTAATGAAATCTATCAAATCGACTGTTCATTTCAAAATGGTTACTTCGCACTTTATTCACAAAGTTTTAACTTCTTACAAAAAGTTGTCGCCTTCGTTAAATATTTTTCAAATATAAAATATCAAAAAATGGGAATTCTAGTTTTCATCCTCTAAGTATTATTAATAGAGATTCCAACTAGATTATTGTGAGAAGAATAGAAAATTTTATTTTTCTTGAAACTTTTTTTAAGATCAAAAAGATTTCACAAAAAACATGATTCATTCTTGTTATATCTGAATGGAGAAATTGTTCTCTTCGGTGATGGCATCTATTCTTGAGAACAACTAATCTTTTCTGTATATGAAGGTCCTTTTTTCAATTGTGTTGGCTTTAAATTATCGATGAAATTCTAATCATAGTTTAGACCGATGCACGAGATCAACAACAGTTGTTTCGCACTGTATTTAATTGTCGAATAAGGATAATACACTGATGGAACTTACGTTATTTGGAAGGATTAACGAACGAATATGCTATTGATATTTATAAAAGGTGGTGATAAACTCTATTGTTGTTTTTAAAAATTGACATAAACATATATTTCCAGTGAAAGAGAAAATCGTTATTTCACGTAGACAACGATCGATAATTCTCTTTCTCTTCGACCGTAGCTTGACTTTAGTCTGCAGATGTTGTTGTTAATTCCAGATGATCCAAATGAAAAGAAATTATTTTTATTCGATGCGTACCTCATTAGTGCAGTTTATCGTTTGCCTGTACTTTTAACAATCCTTTTGGAGAAAAAATTATACCAAGAGGAGAAAAAGCTCTTCGTAGATGAGATTTATTTCTAAGAAGTCAGAGAAATGTAACTCAATGGATCTATATATTTGCATTATTAAGAGACCAACGAGGTGTTGTTACTTCAAACCTTCATCTCGTTCATAGACTTATTCTTATCAAAACGAAATTATGAATGACTTTATGATTCTTCTAGATAAAGAGAAAAAGAACAGCTGAGACAGAAAGGTCCTTCACAAATAAAAACTTTCCTACGTACAGAAATTTCATCCAAACACCATTTAAGGTGTGGATGTGTAATGTTTATTGGTGTATGCATCACGGTAGGTGCCGCTAAGGTGGTTGACTTTTCCTCACGTCTCCATATTCACACCACTGCTTTCATCGAAGGCTCTAAAACTCTTGATTAGGAACTACTTTGTTTTCTATGGCACACGACCGACTTTGAATGTGGTGTGGGTGGGTGTAGGAAAGGTATGAGTCTTCTCCTCAAATACACTCCCCTCCCCCCACATACACACACCCCCATCCATACCCGCACCTCACACCCTACACAACATCTAGGATAGGATAGGACAAGGGTACGAACACCACTGTGAGATAAGGTATAGGTTACGAAAAAGTTTCACCTTGCAGGACTCTATAGTATGGGTTTTGTTGTATATCAATTTTTTCCACACAGGTATGTGTACACTCACCCTCACACACAACTAGATAGCCAAATGAAAAACATTAGTTAGACGATTCGCTAAAAGAAAAAACGGCCATTGCTTTCGATTCCATCGCTGCCTTGACTCTTGCTAATGATGGAATCATAGTTGGACTATATATATGACTTTTAAATGACTTTGATTTAGTATTCAAATCATTCCAATAAGTTACTCACCGTAGTCGAATAATTTCAACCAAAAAGTTGTGCAGACTCTCATGGCGTGTTGTTGTTGTCATATGACTTGTTTTCTACTTGTGAAAGATAACAACATTTTATCTTCCTTATCATACTTTTTTCCCTTTTATTTTTTTTGTATTTGAATACATTTAAACTACAAATTTTGTTGAGAGCCACTGTACTTATCAAAAGTAAAGTATTTAAACAATTACTACAGGACTTATGCCTCCTTATTTAATTAGAATACATTTCACGATTTCCAATATCTAGTCAATTGTTCTTTCAGTTATTATCAAAATAAAAACAAACTGTCATAATTCAAAAGACTGTAAAAATAATTGATATTTGGATCGATCATTGCTAAAAATTAAAAATAAAAATAGAACATCAAATTTTACTGAATAAAGAAAATCAAATGAATTCGTCTGTGGTGAAACATAAATGCAATTGATTTTTTCGATTTAACACTGAGCTAGATCATTTTGTCAAGATCTATCAATTGTTATTGATAGCGATTTACATAAAATTCGAGGAACATTGAATGATTGGATTAAGTCCTAGACATTTTTAAAAGAAAATCTCAGGTTACTTGATCCAAGCCTAATATCTACGATTTATTTGGATTCCATTTTAAAATTTGAATTGTTAAAAATCCAATTATATCTATATCAATAAGAAAAGTTTTATGATTTTCTAGTAAAAAAATTCTTTAAGGAGATCCGTCAAGTGTCTACAGCGACTAACAAATAGTCGCTTGCCAGATAATTCAAGTTTAATTAAACATTCAATATCTTGATAAAAGAACATTCTTATCAGCTGAAACTTTCAAAATATTCTTAGGATACTTATGAACAGTATATCAGTTAATCAAAAATAGGTGACACTGTTTATTTCTATTTTTACAACGAGTGCATGACTTTATATTGATTTCATCTAGATGTCGTTAATAATTTACAATAATAAAAATAAAGAAAAAATATTTTCATATTTTTATTTTCAAATAAATTAATTTATAAAAAATCATATCAAAAAAAATATTTTCTTTAATCAAATTCAATAAAGAGTTCTTTGTCATTTGATTATGGCTGTTAAATCAACAACAACAACAACAACAACAATAATACTCACGAAGAGAAAAGAAAGAAAACAAAATCTAATAATAAATAAGTTCAATTCTTTTTTTTTTTTTTTCAGATTTTTGCTTTTTTTGTTTTGTTTTCCTCAATTTATTCATATTCACCATATGAACATTAAAATTATTCTTAGTTCGTTTTTCGAACTCGTATTATGACGACAACAACAGAAACATATCTTTCAACACAAACATCATTTACAAATGAAACAAATACAACTACAACTACTACTACTACAAATAATGAAGATCAATCATCAACAATTGCTGCTAATGTGACAATTGATGAACTTGTTCAATCATGTTGTAGTGAAGTATTACCATCATCTAGTCAATTGAATAGTAGTAGTAGTGCTTCACCAACACATCTCGTACGATTTGTTCATTCACAATCGTCACTTGTTAGTCAGATAGATGAACAACAACGTCCATCTGAACAAGGTACTATTAATTCTTCTTTGTCTAGTCATGATACACCTATTAAACAACAACAACAACAACCACCACCATTAATTAATGTTACACATTTACCATCACCATATAAACCTAAAACAATTATTGAATCAACAAATTCAATGCAAAATACAACTAATTTAAGTAATATAACAGCAAATAATATTAGTGTGAATAATTATAATGTTAATATTCATACAACAAATGTTCAACAACAACAAACAAATATATTAAATAATGAACATTTAACAAAAAAATGTCAATTTGATGAAAAACAAACAACTGAAATAGTATCACAAATATTAAAAAATATTAAAGAAGTTGATGAATATCAAACAAATACAGCAGCAGCAACAACAACAACAAATTATAATATACATATTGATTCATTTAATTTTTCATCAACAAATGATCAACAACATTCAACAATAATTAAAAAATCACGTATTAAAAAAGAAGCTAAAGCATTAACAAGAATTATTGTTAAAGATGAAGCTATATCACCAAATTTTTCACGTAATAAAAAAGGAACAAAAAATTTATCAACAACACATTTAACAACAATAAATAATTTACAACCAATGGAATATATACCTGTACCTTATGGATGGCAAAGACGAATTCTTGCACCAGATCTTGTTGTTTATCTTAGGTAGAATGTAGTTTCTTTTTTAAGATGAAAAGTTAAATTTTAATATATATTTCTGATTGTTGGCTTTTTTTTTTTTGTTTTCAGTCCAACTAATATAATACTCGATTCATTAGATGCTATACGTCAATATCTTGAAACACCTTCATCATGTAAATGTGGTCTTCAATGTCCACTTATTGTTGATAAGGTTTGTTTTATTTTAATTAAATTAAAAGTTTTATTGATGAACGAAAAGAATTACTTATTTTTTTACTCGTCTCAAATTGATACTATGAAAAAATATAATTTATTTTATAATTAAATATAAAATTTTCTAATAAATAATATAATTAGGTTTTCAATTTTGATTCAACAATAAAATCAAAATCTTGGGAAGTCACACAAGTACTTGAAGGTACTCATTGTCGACAAAAATCGAATATTTTAGAAATGGCAACATTAACAAATTGTATTGATTCATTTTGTGAAACTGAACAAAAACCCGGTAAATATTTTATTTTCATGAAATATGATCTAAAAAGAACAAAAAAAAAACAGTCTCATTATAATGTATATAAATTACTTCGTTATTATGTGTTTATATTTTAATCTTGTTGATATTGTACTATTATTTTCGAATTTTAAAATAGCTAAACGTCGAAAACGAACACATGCTGAAACAGCAAATGGAAATGTATTTGTTTGTGCATCAAATTCATCAAATATTCTACAAACAAATAATGAATCAACTGTTTTTGTTAATAGTCCTAATCAAACATCAGGTATAACAAAGATTTTTTTTTTGTTTTGTTCATAATTTTTTTTTTTTTTCGAAAAATAGAAATTGGCCAATCGATGACATGGACTCCATTACAACAAACTGGTGTTACTCCACCGTCGAAACGGCCACGTGGTCGTCCTCGTAAAACAGCTGTTACACCACCAGTTATTGCTCAATTAGCTGTTAAACCATCACATGATTCACATCAACAAATACAACCAGTACCATCATCTATATTATCACCACCTGCATCTGTTTCATCAATATCACAAACAAATCTTGTTCATCGAAATTCAACATCACCATCAACTCATCATCAAAATACAAATAATAATCTTCGTTATATTAATGATAATGTATTAACACCATCATCAACAACAGATACAAATGTTATTGCTCGTGTACCATCTCTATTTGAACAAGTTAAAACAACAACAAATGAATCAACATTTGCTGTTTTATCTGGTGTACAAAATGTTTTACTTTCACCAAATAGAGATACAAATAATAATAATAATAATAAACGAGTACGTGTTGAATCTTCATCATCATCATCAATTGTATCAACAACTGGTAAACCTGTTACATTAAATGTTAATGCACTTAAACCAGATTTTGTTCGATCACCAGCAGCTGCACAAAAACCATGTTCAACAACACCAAATCAAATTGATGTTATATCATTAATGGGTACAACAAATAATCAAACACAATTAATGGTTACAAAAACAACACCAAAACCTATAGCACCAATACCATCAATAACTAATTCAGATGATTATTCATTAATAAAATCTACTAATGAACAAACAAACGATTCATCACAACCATTAATGATTGATTTTAATGATCCATCAACAACTAATTTTCTTCTATCAGCACTTGCATCAGGTGCTGCATCTGATTCAAATGCTATTGTTAATCATCTTTTTCAAAAAGCACAAACACAACGTAGTAATAATACATCATCATTATCACCACCACCACCACCACCACCATCAACAGCAACAATTAAGAAAAAACTTCCGATTATTTCATCGGGATCAAAAAATTGTACAGAAACAACAAATTTATTACCTATAACAAATTCAAATACACGACAACCTGTTGTACTTCATGTACCAACAACAACAATAACAAATGATTATAATCAACAATCACAACAAATTATATTTAGTAGTAATAATAATAATAATAATAATAATGGTGAAAGAAAACAACCACAACAAATATTTTTTATTAATAATAAACCATATGTTATTCAACAAAAACTTCCATCTGATCAATCATCACAACAACGTTTAGTTCTAACACCATCGATTACTCAAGCAGATGGTTTGTTAAAAAAAATTTTTTTTTTTCTAATTTATTCAAAAACAAAAAAAAAATAAGGAGTATAAATTTTAAGTCTCGATGAATTGCAGCTTCGCGGTCATTCAACGATCATTAGGTACGTTTCCATAGCAATGAGATGAAGGAAAAGAAAGGCTAAAGATCATTGGGTACGTTTCCATAGTAATCAAAGACAACAGGCATCATATCTAGAATAAGTTTGTGTCAGTTCGCCATGTAAAGGTTGCACAGACAAGATTTATATTTTCTCATATATAAACCTAGTAAAAAGAAGTTTAATACTTTTTTTTGTTTTTGTAGAACTTACCGTTCATAATACACCTCATCAAAATCGAAATATTGCTCCTGCTCAAAATAATAGTACTAATTCAAGTGGTCAATCAACTTTAGATGATGGTGGCAATTGTCTTGTAGTCAATGGTGTTGTTGAACCACGAACATTAAGTACATTATTAAAAGGTCTTAATCCATCATCATTTTCTGGTGTTGATAATATTATTGATACAATACATCGTTTTGAACATACAACATCAATAGAACAAAATGATAATTTATTACTTAAACCTATTCGAACAACTACTAAAGCAAGTCCAGCAAGAAAAACAAATCCAGATAAACCACCAGCAAGACGTCGAGCGCCGAAAAAAGTTAAACAAGAGGAACAACAACAACAAGTACAAGTAACTATGCCGCCGCCGCCGCCGCCACCACCACCACCTCCTTCTCTTCCTCCACTGTCACTTCCACCATCAATACAACCCATTGTTGCTGATCAACAACAATGGCAAACAGATTTTAATTCATTTGATTTTTCAACAGCATGGGGTAGTGATACAAATTTAAATTCTCTTTTATTAAATGATGATTTCGATACGGCTGCTTCATTTGATGATGTTAGTTTTGGAGATTTTGAACCATATATGAATGGTAATAATAATAATCTTAATCAAACCGATACAATTTTGCCATCATTATTTGGTAAACCATTACCGCCAGACACATTACCAGGTGTTGATCATCTTTTACCTTGAAACGAGAAAATAGAATTTCTCTGTTCTTCTTTCTTTTCTTTTTTTTTTTTTTCATTTGCGTCTCTCTGTTTTCTCTTCTTGCATATTGTGATATTCGTCTACATTGTAAAAAGAAAAAAATCGCACGCACACACACACACATATATATACATATATATATAGATGGATGATACTCACACATTTATTGGTCATCTCAGGCTGTTGCTGCTGCTGTTGCTGCGCTTTTTTTTCGATCTTAAATATGTAAATGTAGTTGTGTAGTTTATTTCTGTTTCTTTCTCTGTTGATCTGAAGAAAAATGTGTTTTTGTTTTCTATATATGCGTGCAAGTGTGCAATTCTTATGTACTCATTTCAATCCCACCTTTTTTTTTCTCCTTTTTGCCTCTAGTCTCTCACTCTCTCTCTCTGTCTCTCTCGGCCTTCTTATTTATATATTTTTTGTTGTTTGTACAGTGTCAATTTTTCTTTTTTTTTTTGTCTTTTCTTGCAATATTATACGCGTATATATATATATATAAATATTTATTTGTGCCTTGTCTCCACTCTAGAATGATATTTTGCGTTCCTTAAAATTTGATTTCTTTATAACCGAATTTGTACAATGTTCATTTATTATTTGTTTGTGTGCCGTGTCGTTCATCTTTTCTTTTTGTCTTCTTTTTTTTTTTGTCCTCTTTTCTTTTTTGCCTCTGCTTTCGTTTATCAATCACACAGACAGAACGACGACAACGACGAAAAAATATATATTGACTCATTTCGATGTGCGTGTGTGCGTGTGTATGAGTGTATTTCAATTTAATACAATAATGGACTTTTCACATTTTTGCAAAAAAAAAAAAAACTTTTTTTTTTTGTCTTTTGATTAAAAATTTTGATGAGAAAATTTCTTCTTTTCTTTTTTTGAATTGCGAAAAAAAAAGCAATCAGAAACTTTCGATGATGGAGGCTATATTCTCTTGACTTTTGCATTTTTATTTATTTATTTTTTTCTGTTTTCTTAATTCTAGATGGGTAACGGTATAACAATAAATAAAAAACAACTTCCTGGTGTTCCACAACCACCTGGTGCACGTAAAATTGTTGTTATTCCATATCAAAAATGGATCTATCATGATGCACGTCGTTTTGGTCATTTTAATCAATTTAGTACCGATAGTGGTTGTGAAATAATTTCAAATAATAATAATTCAAATAATAATACAATTTTATCTGTTCTCCCTTCACTTTCATCAAGTTCATTTTCAACTCCAACATCTTTTGTATCAACATCATTATCATTAACAAATGATTTTATTGTACAAACTAAAACACAATTAACATCCGCATCTGTTCCTTCATCTATATCATTTTTAACTAATAAATCTAATATTCGTAATAATAATAATGGTAATCAAAATCCATCAGCATCCGCTTTAGTTGGTTCAGCAATGATTCTATCAAGTTCATCATCAACAGTAACATGTTCATCAACAATGCCATCAAATGATTCAGATTTTCGACGTTTAAATCCTAAACCAGTTTATTATGTTAATGGAAGATTTTTTAAAAGTTTAACACGTCTTGGTGATGCACAATTTATATTAAGTGAACATGGTGAAGATGATATTATATTAACAGTACCATCAAATATTGAACGTTATCGTACAAATGATAATACTGTACGTGAACGTATACATCGTTTAAATCGTGTTATAGCATGCTGTGACGAATTTATTGTCTTTCAATTATGGAAAGGAAATAATGAAGTAAGTTTAAATTTTTTTTTTTTTCTACCAAAACAAAAAATAATAATTTATCTAGGTTGAAATATTTGTATTTGATCGACCGATATTAAATGAACCATCAGATATAAAAATTTCATCAAAAAAATGTACATGTTTTCATCGACAAACACAACAACATCAATCATCATTAAATCAATCATCTGATCAAACAAATTCAACAACACGTATAAATACACCAAATCGACATAGTTCATTAATGCAAACAGCAACATTAAGTGCTTATCATACAAGTGAACCACAACGATCACCAATTAAATCATGTTCATTATTAAATGATACTGAAAATCGTTTAGATATGCAAAATGATGCATATGAATTTGTTGATAATACTAAAAAATTTTCATATTTAACCGGTTCAGCTCGATGTACATTGGTAACTGCTTCAGCTATTATGGCTGCTAATTATAATACTAACAATAATACTAATATTTCTAATAATACAATATCATCGACTATGTCGAGGATTCGATTTGGAAAATCGATCAGTCGGTGAGATATTTATAAATGTTTTTTTTTGTCATATGACTTAAGAGTACTCAAAATTTTAGGTCTTTTATGAGTATTGTGTTATGTAGCAAACAGTGTCCAATTCAAATAGTATCGAGTACCTATTAAAAAAAAAAAAACTTTCTGATCAGCTGTTCTTGAGAAACTTTGAAAAAGAGAAATAGGCGAATGAATTAAAATTTTGTTAGGATACAGATGAAATTGAACCCAATACTGATTGTTAGGTACTTTGACAGGTTCTTTTTTGTTTTTGTCTCTAAGCAATATGACGGAATAAAATAATCATAATTATACACGATTCAAGGTTTTTGTATACTATAGATGATGAAAGAATAAAGTGAAAAATTTCATTTCGTAATTCACACATTGATGCTTTTGTTAATTACTTTCACTGGTAGAAAATTCAAGCTTAAACTCTTGATTAATATGCTAAAAAAAATTTAATGTTGCTAATCTTTTTTTTTTTTTTCTAATTATTTATTTATTTATTTATTTAATAAATATTTTTATTTAGTGCAAAATCAACAAATACACGTTCATATTCAATATCAAATACAAATGAAGTTATAAATAGTAAAAATTCTCAAAATTTAATTCATGATTCCAAACATCGTTCAACACCTTATTTATCATCATTATCATGTAATTGTATGGATAATAATGATACTGTATTATTATCATCATCATCATCATCACCAACATTTTATTTATCATCATCATCAACATGGAATAGTCGTATTGTTCGAAAACTTAATTCTGTTGCACATCGTTTTAATGCACGATCTTATGCATGTTTAATATCACCAGATCGAACAAAATTATTAATTACACCTGATTATGAAGATAAACATTCATATAGTCATCAAATACATGAAGTAACAGTTATATTTGATATAAAAACATATGCTATACTTCGAATAACACCAGCTCGTAAGTTTACAAAAAAAAAATAAAACAAAATATTTAAATTTTAATAAATTTTTTTTTTTTTTTAATTAGGTTATGATCAACGATTTTCATTTGATCCACGTTTTGGTCATTCACGTTTAGCAGAATTTGATACAGTTCGTGGTCAAATAACAGATATAACAAAAGATCGTGTACTTGTTTGTTCAAATCATACATTAAAAACTAAAGTCTATCGTGTAGAATATACTAATGATGGACATTTGATTATTGTTCTATGCACACGTAAGAATTAGTTTACTTTTCTAAATCTTGATTATAATCATCAAAAAAAAAAGAAAGAAGAAAAGAGCCTGAAAATAAATTCTATAGAACGATATTCCCTAATTTCTCGCTGACTTAAGATTAAACAACTATAGTTCATATCAGAGATGTCCATCGCGGTTGAAAACTGACCGCTGCCGCGCCGCGACGATAAAAGAAAAAAGCTAACGAGCCGCTACCGCACCGCGGTGATAGAAACAGAAAACCTACCGCGCCGCTGCCGCGACGCCACCAAAAATAACCATACCGCGCCGCTGCCGCGATGATTGTTAGAATAATGTTGTGAGTTTTACGATCTGTGACTGTTCAGGACTTGAGCTGTTGTTACCAATCGATAAGATTCGTTGAATCTCATAGTTTTGCACTTGCAAACATTGAAATTCTGTTCGAATTCATGCATTTTTGTATTGTTCTCCAAAAGAACCTACCGCTACCGCGCCGCTGCCGCGATAGTTATTTGAAGAAAACAATCACTACCGCGCCGCCACCGCAACAGCGGCAGCGGCGCGGTGGCGGTAGCGGTCGCGCCCCGATGGACACCTCTGATTCATATACAAAAGAAAAAAACTCTTTAATATCATTTTTTTTTGTTTTTGTATTTCTTTTAGTTCCGATATTTCAACGTGTTAAACGTAATTATTTTCTCTATATTCTTAATTCTTCCACATTATTACATACACGAAGTATTATCGATTATCGTGGTCCATTTTTTTCTCCATTTGTATTTACAAATGAATTTTCATTATTATTTAATATTTATCCATCATTATCAAATTGTGGTTCAACATTAGCTGTTTTAAAAAATATTGAACCATCATTAAATGTACGTCTTATTGAAGTTTATTCATTACCATATACATGTACAACATTAAAAGAAGTAACAAGACGAAATATTTTACGTTATGTTGATCGAAAACAAATAAAACAATTACGTTTACCTGACAATTTAAAAGCTTATCTAGCTTATAAACCTCAATTTACATAATTCAAAAAACACCGAGAAATCAAAATATATATATATATGTATATAATGAAAATATTATATTTTGCTTTCTAGTCAAAATTTCATATTGACATATTACATGTCATTCATCTTTTTTTTCTCCTTTTTTTTTCTTTTTTGTAGTCATTTTTGTTTGCAATATATTTTTCGTGTAATCCTTTTTTGCCTTTGTTTTATTTTTCCTTGTTGTCTTTTGTGCCAATGCTTCTTTCTTTTTCTTTGCTCTTGTATGAATTAAATTATAATAAAATATACCACATTACAAACAGATTAGATTTGTATTTCACCAATAATAAAATACTATATGAAAGATACTGATTGTTTTGCTTTACTTGAAGTGATCTTTATTTATATAAGCTGCATAAACTAACGGAATAATTTCACAAAAACAAAAGAAATTATGTGAATTCAAAATACAAACGATCTAAGTTTATATTTCAGTTGATTATATAAAAATATATTACACAGTGAATAAAGTCTTATACAGAGTAAAGTAAATTTTTTTCTGAAAATTCAACGTTAATATATGTAATATTTTGAAGTTTTCAACGATGTTTAATTCTGACTGTCTTTCATACATGATTCTAATATCGGAAAATCTACATTGCATGTCGATTATCTTCTCAAATGCAGAGACTTTATCATGAATTCGTACTTGAGATGACAAAAATTTATTCTTTTCCTATATGGAAGCAAGTCGAATAGTATGACAATTGTAAACGGCCATGTAACGTCGTAAGTGACATTATCTTTATTATAAACAAACGTGCTGCGTATTCCTTACCTCCTCCGTCATGCTGTAAGTATAACAAATATACTTTATTTTATAAATTTATTCATGACATTCACTTAGTGTTATTGAGATGAGTTTAAATATAAAGAAAATATATTCTTTTTAAATTGATCCTTATTTGGTGAATGTAAATTATGCGAACAGAAGATTTAAAAAATAGGTTTTACTAAAACAATCTCAATCAAATTTTATATTTCCAAATTAATCTAATGATCTTTGTATATGTTCAGATAAAATGATCATCAGTAAGAAACATCAATATCAAATACCCATAATAAAAATATCCAAACACAGATTGAAATCAAAGAAAATTTTTCATTTTTACAAATTAGTTATTTCTTCATTAAGATTTTCAGAAACAATATTTTGAAACTTGGTTAACTATTCTTGCCTAGCTGTGTTTTCGAATGATCACCAATTCATTGGCCGAAATCGTGAGTCTAAAGAAAAGTCTTATAACTCTTGAATGGTACAAGCTAGAAATGTTAGCCTTGTGTAAATCGAAAGGAAAACAAATTTAGAATATCGTGTTCGAAAATCTCAATCTAGAACCTGCCTTATTAGTCAATTACTAAATCGATCAAATTTTAATACATTTCGATAAGATTCTCATCGATATATCAATCGATCATAATGAACTAGTACCTACTAAAAGGTTAATCTATTTTTTCTATAGTTATAAAAATATGACACAGATATGCAAAGGTTGTTTGATATCAATGTATGAAATTCACATATACATGAATTCTCTATTTTCTAGATGTTTTGAAATCATTACTGATTATTCCCGTTTTTAACTTGACCTGCTCTATCATAAAAAGAACAACTATGTAGAATTTATTGATGATATCTGTGTACTATACTAATTATTCTCAACTATTCTGGGCGAATCCCAACATAGTTAAAAAGTGTTCAGATATATTTCTTCATGGTCTATTCATACAAATAACATTTGAGCGGTTTCATCAAATATCGTATATTTATAATAGTAAGACAAACAAATGGTTAAGGTCTATACATATCATAGATGATTGTGTAATTATTTTCATGTTTTATTTATTGATTAATTATAAAAAATACAGAAAGCAAAAGAAAATTTAAAGAAAAATAATTAGTTGCAGAATTAAATTGTATTAAATTTTGTGCAATAAAATTATTTGCTTCTTGAAACAATATTAAATCAGTATTATTGGATAAACTCATTTGAGTAAGTAATAATTTATAGAGTTGTACTGCTTCATTAATATTACCTAATTCAACATAAGCTCGAGCCATACCAACAATATTAATAGCTCGATTAGGTGCTGTTTCATTAGTTTTTTTAAAAAGATCTAATGCTTGTGATGGAAAATCAACAATAGATATTACTTTACTCTTTAATATATAATTTCCATTAATTAAACCTTGTTCATATTTTTTATGAATAAGTAATAAATGTATTGCAAGTAATTCTGATGCACGTATAAATATTAAACTAGGACTATCAGTACCCGATACAAGAGTTGATTCACGTTTAACAGCATTATTTAATTCATTTAAACATTCTTGCCATGATTGATTAATATAATAACGAATTCCACGAATTTGAAGTATCATTATTGAAATACTAGTTGATACATATGGAGATAATGAACTTGCACTATTAGAAAGATTATTTAAACGAGCAATATGTTCATCTATTTTGAATGTGATATTATTGTTATTAATAGTAATTAATAATCGAAGACATTCACCTAAACAATTATAAGTAATAGCAAAGAACAAAAAAAAACAAAGTATAATATATTTGTTCTTACTAAATCGAAAACCAGCTTCAGCCCATATTGAATACCATCGTTTAGCATTTTCACCAATTGAAATCATGTTTTGTGTTCCATTAATTGCTAATAATTGTTGTATTTTATTTTGAAATTCTGAATTATAAGGAAACCAATAAAATACTTCAATAATCATACGAGTTTGTATTCGATAAGCAAATGGTAAATAGTAATTCATTGTTTGATTGGATTGATTATTAGCAAAATATAAATCCCGTAATAGATCAAGACTACCTAACCAATTACCTGTTTGTAAACGAGAATATGAAAGCCATTCCATAGAATGACCTCGATTTTCTCTATCACATTGAATAAGTAATTTTTGTTGAGTAGTATTAAGTAAATCCCAAATCTGTTCAAGTTGTATTGAATAAATCGATAAATTAAGAGCTAATATTTTCTTTGCACATAATCTTAAACTAACAATAATACTTTGTTCATCAGCTGATAAAGCACGATTCCATGAACCTAACGAAAATAAAAAGAAATGTATTATGAAATTAAAAAGAAAATAATACAATGAAAATTTTTGTTTTTTTTACCTATTCGAATCCAAATATGAGAAGGCATATGTTGTGCATGTGATGATGTTATTGCAATTTTTCCATATTGATCTGCATATTCTCGAGCTTGTTCAGATACATTCACAAGAGCAACATCATATGCATGTATAAGATAATGAAGTATACCTGGATGATTTGGTTCATTGTTTAGTGCACCTTTTAATATATTTCTTGCTTCTATCATTTCCGGTGGTTCTATTTGTGATTGATATCGAACTTGATTAGCAACATTAAGAAGTGAAAGACCCCATAATACACGAATATCAGTTTCATTTGAATATTTTAGAGATAAATTACGTATCGATATTAGAAATGCATCTTCACCGGCTGTTATATTTTGGTTATCGGCATACCATTGATAAACAGTAGAGAAAAGTTCTTGTTGAAAACTTGTATTAGTTAAACTTGGAGTTGCTTTGTATACTGCTTGACCACAACCAAGATCCCTATTTGACCATAATGCTTGTTTACAACTAATTAAATGAAAAATTTATTCTATTGATCTAACATGAAACGAAATTAATATACCTGAGCATTTTACCAATATGAGCTTCAATAAATGTAGAAGTAAGATTAATAGCCAAATCAAAAGCTTCTTTAGCTTCATCATACATAAATGAATGAAGACAAAGATATCCAGTAGCAAAATGACGATGAGCTAATGAAGATCGATTAAGTGTAAGACCAAGAGGTCGTCGAATATCACCTATTTGTAAATAAGATTCCCATGGAAGAATTTCATCTGTGGTATTCCAGGATTGACTATGAATAGTTTGACCAAATATAAGAAAAGTAAGACAAATTATTAAAAACATTTCTTGTAATTGATACACCTTACGAAAAATATTATGTTTATATGTACTCATCAGTTATAGTAATAACGAAATATTGTATACATATGTCAAGTTTTCAATTAAACAGTTGACTATGAAGTGTGAGCAAGAAGTTTTTATAACCTTGAATCTATATTACTTTATACGAATATATATTGTCTAGATCGGTAAATATAATAATAAATAAAGAAAAGATCACTTGAGTTTTTGACGAAGACATTCACACGTACATGCAAACATACTGAGTACCCACACGTTATTCATATAAAATCACACACTAGTGAAGCGAAATTATTATTTTATTCTCGTTTTTCAAGCAACAACTTGTGATTTATGAAAGACACAACATTAGATTGAAGATGTTTACTTCATAGTTTATGATTGCTTAACTTAACTATGAATATGCTCACAAGAATTCCTATCCCTATAGCTTATTGTTACGAAGATACGACATCTATACAGTATTTTTAAACCAATGCTGTGGTTTTCCTTCGAAACACTGGAAAACTAATTTTCGAATTTCGACTTGAAAATTTTCACAGAAGTAGATTTTAACAAGTATAGTTTATTGTGAAATTTTCAAATCTTTTGGTTTGCTTCTATCCAAAAATAAGAATATCGAATTTTCCAATCTATATGAACTATACAAAAGATACGTTTTTATCATAGCTGTATCTTAGTATAGAAACCTTGAAAAATCAGTTTTGCTGGCGTTTCTGAGGAAGACCATAGCATTCACATCGTCTCGACTCAAAAACGATTTACCAGTTGTAAGATTTTCCTCGTAAGGTGAACTCAAAACATTTAGAAAAATAATATTTTAGGCTTCTGGCCTTAGTGGTAATAGCTAGAACAAGTCAGAGAAAATATCTGAATAAATGAAACAATTTCAAGTTAATAGGGATACCTGTCAAGTTCTCAATAATATAATTTCCTGATTATTCATAAATAAAGAATAATTTATTTATTTTTAAAATCGAGTTTGTATATCTACGAATGAGGTATTAAGTAACTTCGTTTGCTCGAGACATTCAAGTATTTTTTGATCAAACCATTTTTTATAT